TGTGTGTGCGTGTGTGTGCGTATGAATGCAAATGTCTGTATGTGAGTCTACCTTTTGTCCCGGTCTGTGTGTGGCCCAGGCGCCTGATATCTCCGGCGTTGTGCGCTGCCTGCCATGATGCCAGGACAAGGCTGGATACTGTTTACCAACATCAGCCACATGGCTTTGGCCTCCTCCTCCTCCTCCTCACCTCACCTACTCCTCCTCCTTCCCCCCTCTTTCCTTCTTCCCTCTGTGCCTCCAGTACCGGGCCTTAGCCCAAATATGTGCCACTCAGGAGTCTGGCCAGGCGTTCTCTGGAGATGGCTGAAAGAGAAATCTGTTGCCACGGTCTGAGTAGCCATTCAGCACGACAGTGTGTTCACAGAGGGAAAGAGAAAGAGACTTGCCGAGAAGGGAATTAACAGGACATAAAAACACACATTGTTGATGACTTTGATTAATCCTTTTTACCTAAGAAAGCAATGACTGCATCTCGCCATATGACAGGGTGACCCTTTCTTCTTCAGCAAAAACGATATATTACTTAGTGAATGCGTTACAGCGCTACAGAACGAATCAAACACTAATTTTTACTCTTTCAGTCCACATCGAACTACTTAGGACCAGATTCATCCATAGGAGCAGGGACCAAATGATCCAGAGGTATGTGCCCTATGTAATAGACAGGGCTATATGAAGACTGATGACTTTGTTTTGGAGTTGAGACAGCCCTGAGACTGAGCCTCTCAGTGGGGGAGTGGAACTGGTGGATTACATAACAGGAGTCTGGTTGGTCTGGTGTCTTTGTGCACACTTACTGTGCACGTGTGTGTATGGGACAGGAGTCTAGTGTCTTTAAGTGTGTGTGTGTGTATGTGTGCGTGTCCTCTCGTGGGACTTCCCTTTACCATCTGCCTAATGGCTTATCCTGCTTGGTTATAGGATGAAAACAAGTTCATGGACAACAACATCGCCCAGAAAATATAAAATAAAAACAGCATATTGCAGCTAACAGAGGCAGTTTGCTTCAGATGGTAAGATTAACTGTGACATTTAATAAGAAATCGAACACACAGAAAGACACGTGTGCAGTACTGCTCAAACACACACACATCATAACAGTGTCCAGTGCCACATTTCCCGCCCACACTCTTCGGTTAAACAAGCACAAAATCGTACACCTCTCAGCTGTGCACACATATACACACACACACA